TATGGCTATCCTTGTATATTGTTTTTCTATGACTATTTTTATGACTTATTCGAAAGCCTGCCTTGTCCAGAACTGACGTGTCGGTGTTGTGAGTTTAAAATTACTATTTTTGTAGTCGTCAAAATATTTGTTGTAAATCATTAATATATTGTCTTTAGGGATATTGTTTTTGTTAGATGTGAGCGTTTTTTTGTTTTTGTTTTTGTTTTTTTTTTTTTTTTTTTGATTACTATGCTCGAGTGCGGTGAATTTTGTTCTATTACTCTTAGGTTATCGAAGATTTCTTTATATGATTTATATGTTGAGCTGTAACTTGAGTTGACATTTGGGTGATTTATTATAGAATATTTTAAGTAATTATTTGTTGATAGGATCTTACTGAATTCTTTAGCTGTCAGTCAGTTTGCTCTGTCGGGGGTTCGTTTGCTGAAACGTATATTCATGGGATTGATGTTGATGGTGTGATTTCTAATGCTCTCCTTGAGAAGCTGTTTAGAAAAGCTTGAATTTTTTTGTCAACGGCCTTTGAGCATTTTGCAGTGGATGTTTGGCAGTGTTCAAGTCTGAATCTAACAAAGGCTTTGTAGAAGTTGATTGCTGCCATAGGCCTTAGTCCTGAGTCCTGCTTTGATAGTTGTAATTGGTTTGAAAAACTTTGAGTTGTTTTCAGAATTTACAATTACTTTGCTGTTGGAGAGGAGTTTATTTCCCTGCCTTAAAATTTTACAGAGTTGGTTGGTTTGTGCTATACTACTGTTGCTTACAGATACGTGGATTTGTTTTATGCTACCTTTGCTAACATAGATATTTTAATTTTTGCTATATTGAAGCTTATATTTAGTCATTGACAGGTTTGGTTGAAAAGATTTACTTTTTCTTGAGTTCTTTGGGTTGTTATCTCAAATTTATATTTTGTCCATGTAAGTAAATTATGAAATCGTGAGCGAATTGACAGATTCTTCTTTGTTGGTCTTTTATTTTGTGTAACGCTATTGTGTAAATTTAAAATAGAAGAAGTAAATTTAAAATAGATTTTCTACCAGAGTTTTTGGAGGCCTGACACAAGGGAGCTGCCTATAACTTCTTCCGCTTGTTTTAGCTTCCTGAGGGATAAACAAATTTATGATCCATTCTATATAAATAGTTTTCTTCGATTCTTAAAGTGCTAAGGGTATTACGTAAAGTTTTTATGTTACTTATATGTAAGAAGCAAACTACTACCTTGTAGTTATTGTCTTTCTATACAGCAATTTTATGCAGTAAGAAGTCAACAGCCATTGTGGCTGATTTGTTTTTTCCGAACGCAAAAGACGCTTAGTTGAGTATGTCTTCCAATTCTAAGTGTTCGTAGTTTTGCTAGTTTTCTGGACTTATGTCTTTTTTTGGGATGGGTACTATTTTTGCTATACTCCAGTTTTCTGGGATTTGGTTTGTTAGAAAAACGTCATTTATTGCTGTGCATATATTGTTTAAAGCTTTATCTAATAAGGCACTAAGCATTTTATACGTTAGCCTATCTTGACCTCCGTTTTTTGTTGTTAATTATATGTGTATGTTCTTCGTATGTTATAGATAGTTTGATGGTAGGGTTTGCGATTATTTGTTTTATATTTTCCTAATCTATTTTTTTTTTTGGCCTTTGAGAAGTGTATTTTGTTCTATAAACTTGAGTTTTGTAATTTTATTGGTTTGGTTTTCGATTATGATTGGGAAATGATGGCTTCCTACAATTGTTATAGGGTCCACTTTCCAAAGGACATTGCTGTTTGACAATAATAGATCTAAAATAGAGGCTGTGGTCGGTCTAATATATTTTTTGTAAGTTATGGATTCATCATTTAAGAGTGAAAACTGTTTGCTTTTTGCCTTTATTCGTTTGCAAGTTATCCCCCATGCTGTTGTTCTGGCGTTAAAGTCGCCGATTAGAAGAACATTTTGATAATTTTCAAGAATTTATAAGTTTAGCTATTTCTTCAGTAAAAGCATTTATGTGTATATTTGGTGGGAAATATGCTGTATATATTGTAAGATTTGGTTGTAGATTTTTGGTCTGGATTATTAAAATGTATAGCTCTGTCCTATAATTTACTACAGAAAATTTTATTTCTTTTTTTAACACTATGGCAACTCCACCATATCCGTCATGTCTCGGTTTCACTATTGTCTTGAAATTTACAATTTTTCTATTTTTTCTGCCTTTATATGAAAAACTGGCGATGTCAAAAGTTGTTGCTGTTAAGATAATATTCTAATGTGTTTATATTAGCTTTTAATAACTGGCAGTTATATTCAAGAATCTTTATTTTCAATGTTAATGTTTTTTTTTTTGATGCTACTAATTTCTTGTTTAGTTTTTTTCTGAAATTTACTGTATTTAGTTTTCCAGAAATTTCTGTTAAATTTAGGTCTTTGTTTTGTATATTGTCTTCTAGTTGTGCTAGTGGAGCGAATTCTGTTTCGTCTACTTCCACTGCGTCAAATCTATTGTTGCTGGGGTAGTATGTTTCCTCGTCCACTTATGTTCTTTACTGCTTTTATTCGGTTGAGCATTTTTTCTTTTTCCCAAACTAGACATTTGTCTCGGTCTGTGAATGTATGGTAGTCATTTTGACCCAGTATGCCGCATTTCTTTGAGCAGTTTCCATTGCATTCGTTTTGCCCCCAGCTAAGACATCTTGGTATTGACTTGCATGCGACATGTATGTGTCCAAGCCGTCAACAGTATTTACACTGTCTCAATCTGTGTATATAAAACGATACCTCTAATTCAATATATTCATAAATTATATATTTTGGTATATTTAATCTTGGTATGGTAATCTTAGGTTTAAACCATTCGTCATTTCCGCGCATTTGGAAGTATCTATCAGTACAAAGCATGTACCGATGAAGTTTGTCGGATATTTAATCGCTTCTTTTCTTTTTTTTTGTCTGTTATTTTAGTCATTTGTCGATATAATTAAAACGCTTGCTAAGCCTTTTTTATTAGCTTTCTATTTATTTTGTCATTTAATGCATAGTCATTTGTAATCTTTTTGGGTTTCTATTTATTATAATTCACAAATGTGAAGGTTTCAAATACATCCGCCGCTACAGCCAAATTTGGAAGTAGTTGAAGAACACCGTTATGTTATTTTTACGTTAATTTATACATATCAATTTTTTTCATTGATATAAAAATATAATTTCGGAACACAACAAAAAAAACACAAGCTGGAACCTGAAACAGTATTTTCAAAAATTTATATACTTCATTCATATTATCAAATAGGAATGGCTCAGGAATATGAAGAGAAAACAGCAATAACCACTTCTTGGGAAAGTTCGTACGTATTTTGAACTTTTAAACAGTGCTCAAACAATTCTACTATTTATTAATGAAATATTTTTTGGATTAGATTTCGTATTTGTTTACATCGATGACATTCCTGTGGTAAGTCACAATGAAGATCGGCAAATTGAATATATGCCTGCCAAACCACCGCCATTAGGACCGTGCTATGAGTTAAGGAGAATAAATGGAATGGACGCTTCTCACTTTGCAGCAACAGGAAATCTTAAAATATTCAATAGAACTGTGCGACTTACAACTGCATTTAGGTATTAATAACATTCTGATTCGAATATTCATTTTTAATTTTACTTAGACGTCTTTAAACTTCAAAGGAGTCGCGATTATGACGGAGGCGTTCGTAGAGTTGAGGGCTGAGTCACCAAAGGATGGCACTATTACGGTTTTGCTACATTGATATTGTTTAATTGTTACTCCTTTTTTAGGCTATATAAACCATGTTTATGATCTATTTAAAATATTGGAATAAAGACTGAATCTTAATAATGCTTATATGTATGTAATATAAATAGGGTAAATTTTTGTCAAAGCTGAGTTACTTCGGCATCAATGCTGTCGTTCATCTGTTTACGGCTTGTACGTCACTACGGCGTTTTTTTTAATGTCAATATTGTTTTATTTTGGTATCAATGCTGTCGCTCAGCTGTTTTCCGTTTGTCCGACAAGAATGATGGGAAAATGGTTCTACGAGCTGAAGGGTTTTGATATCATGCATTCCTGACAAATGGTGGTTCAAATAATCGCAAGCCTTCTTGCAGTGATATCTCCTCGCCGAATTGGATATTTAGGGTATAGATACTACACAATTCACTAATGATGTTAGATAGATTTGTGAAAAGGATAATAAAATTGCTGATCTCTTTCTCATATTCCAGAAATCCATTCAAATTTAACCAAAGATATAAAATTCCAATATTTTTATGAAGAACAACCAAAAGAGGAAATACATAAAAATATTAATTCAGATCTAAATGCAAAAAGTAACCTGAAATAAATTAATAGACTTTTTATAAATTTTATTCATAAGCCTAATCTTCAACCACTTTATGAAGGACCATTTAATGTTATCTCCAAACACAACAAAACTTTTGAAATACATTATGGAAATAATATTAAAACAGTTTCAGTTGATTTACTGAATTAGATGAACTTGCAAACAACCATTCCTACACTAACAAATGCAAAGAAAAAGAAAGTTAGGTTTTCTGCTCTGCTCTGACACGATTATAAAACGAAAGATGGTAGAATATGACAAAGAAATGTTCACGGGACACAGCGAACTACTAAATACAAGTGACAATAAAAATTATCCAATTATTAATACACCAAATAAAAAAGTTTAAAAAGGTTATATTTTGTTTAAAATTTACATTTTCATGAGCTTTTTACTATGAGTTACTTATTTTTTTCTTGCAGCTGCTCTGTTCTGTTCGAATTCTACTCTATTTTCAGTCTCAAAAACTAGACTAAAATTATGTATACGGCAATAAATTATTTACAATGGGCTGTTGAGAACCGTAAAAAATAGCATTTCATTTACGGAAAGCCCAAATTTTTTAAAACTTATTGCTTACTAATGAAAATATCAGACAAATGCAAATTGCATATGTATGTTGATATATTGGTATAATTCTCTTAAGTTGCTTACCTTGGCCTCTTCCAATCTGCCTAGAGCTTTCAGCAAATTTCCAAGATCGCTGCGCACGCAATAGAGATCCTTAAAAAATACATATTATTCAAATTTTATAACAAATAAATATTTATTTTTTTTACCGGATTATACTGCAATGCTGTGATGTATGCCTGAACCGCAGATTCCATATCACGGGCTGCTACCAATGCCGCTGCCAAATTAATATATCCATCAATAAAGTCAGGCTTTAGCCTAACCGCACGTCTATAGTTTTCTAATGCTTCTGGTAGCTGTCCACGTTCCTTGTACACATTTCCCAAATTGCTGAAAAATATTACGTGCACCAGGTATTAGTCTTCAATTTTTTTAATTGTTAAATATATTAAAGACAAGTCTCATTTGATATATTATGTTTGAAGAAGCTGTTGAATAAGAACTGGGCTACAGTTATAGAACGCCCCTAATATCTTCTATCTTCACTATGTTCACGATAATGGAGCACTGCCCGCTATCCTATGAGTGTATAAGTCCGAATATTATCAACGATCTAAATATTCCGGTAAAGTTTCTTACTTACACTGACAATTTCCCAAGGTACAAAGTAAAAATAGCTCAGATAATAGTGGAAGATGTAACTATTTCGGGTATTCAAGATGTTCGATATCATTGAAGACGAGCTCAGATATCACATAAAACACATCGTGAAAAAAGGATGCAGATACCAGAAAAATAATTTTTCTCTGCAATGGCTAGGCTAATCAGAGAATACGCAATTAAATGATATTTCTGCAAACTTAACAAAACGATAGGCATCCACCTCCAACCATTTCCCCAGCCAGCTCCTCGTCGAAGCTAATTGAAGACAATATCGCACTATCTATACTGCAATTATTAAAATGGAATGTATTGCAAAAGCAGAAAACAAAAAATTACCCTGTTAGGATCGGGAATGCTGACTCAGTATATCTTGTTCTGCAAATAAATAATACTAGCCGAGCTAGGAGGCTACTATTTTCAGCAAGAGTGTACCATCGCAATTGTGGTAACATCTTGGTGGTAAACAACCATGAGTTCTACTTTCACAAGGCTGTATAAGGAAGCGAAGGGTTCGTCTATGATTGAACCAGTATTAACAGCAAAGTCATTCTGGAAATTTAACGCAGACAATTGAAAAGTAAAGCCCTTTCTCGACGAAGAATAACCAAACACTACAAATTCTACAAGTCATTCTGGAAATTTAACGCAGACAATTGAAAAGTAAAGCCCTTTCTCGACGAAGAATAACCAAACACTACGAATTCTACAAGTTCCTTATTATTGCCGTCCTGCGTGAACTATGATATCTGATACATCGGCGTTAAGTCATACAATGAAAAGAAGAAATTAATGTCGCAATGTTGTTAACTCTGTTATAACCGCGTAAGCGGTGTCTACGCCGGCCATGTAATTAAGTAAGAATAAGTATAATATAAGCAAAAGACATTGCGCTTATTTACACGAATAGTGTAATAACCCAGAAAAGTCGATTTTTAAGTTTAATATACAGAAATGTGCGCAATGTCATTGCCAATATATATATGCAATTGGCGCTTTGTAACGCTGAAGCGATTTTTTCGTCCGAGCTCTTCCTCCAATTTGTGGTTTTGCATCTTGATGTTTTTCCAACAAATAGAGGGGCCTACAGTTTATACTACGTCGCCTTCGAATGGCTGATAGGTTTTTATGAGGAGCTTTATTTCATGTTCGAAATACGCCCGGAGGGGTGGACATTCCATGCCGAGGCGCGACCGCAATTAGAAAACTTTACTTAATATTTATTTAAATTAATTTTCAATAACTTTTGGATGTTGATGGCACCGGGATTTGAACCCGAGCCTTCCGAATGTCAGTACGCAATGTTAACTACTGGGCTACCGCGGCCGCCATTGTCAATATTGTGAAAAATTACATTCTGATGCGCAAAAAAAATAAATAGTCGGGATAAGACAACAATGAAACATCTCAGTAGTGCCAGATTTTTCATAGGGTATAATTTGTTTATATTATATATTCTGCGTGGCACCGATATTTGTGTCAAACTAATTAAATTTTTCATGATGCTGAATTTCCTTTAAGCAGTATTATTTAAGTTTCAGACGGTATTTTTGATAAAATTGTAACCGTCGAATAAAGTATGGCATTGTATTTGATAAAATACGACCTGTTTAAAAGTTAGAACTTGGTATTAAAGATAAATTTGTCACTATTTAAGATACTTGTTTCTATTATAATGTACAAGTTTTAGTAACTCATAATGATACGCTGTTGCTGATAATATAATCATGGAAGTGGAATTTTTTAGGTTATTTGAAAATGTCATATTCCAAAAATAGCTCAGCGTCAGTATCAACACGTTCATCATTTTCAGAAGACTGTGGCGATTCCATAACTGACATGGCATACGCTCCCGGTTCACCGAATGATACTAGTGACAATATCGACAACAGTGACGAAGCATGAAAGAGATCGGCCGCCACTGCAATTAACCAAAATATTTTCCGAAGAAGATTCTCCAGGCCCTATATCTTTCACGCATCCTGGTAAAAATTTTTCCTCTGGTATAAAACTTTCAATATCAACTGCGAACACAGAAAGTTCAACACTCATTATGCTTGGCCCAGCAAAGAAAGGAAAAAAGAAGGAAATAACCACAAAAATTGAAAACAAACACTATCAGAAAAAAAGGACACAGTGGAGACCAGTATGTACTTCGGAAAAATTCATTCGAATTAAAAGAGAAATGAAACGTCCTTCTGTGTTCAAAACATTTTAACGAGGATAACAGAATAGAAATATTTTCTTCATAATTGTCAATGCTTTGTTAGGAACGAAACCAATGGCAAACACGGCGTTAATGAATTAGGAACATGCGTATTGAAATTTATCAAAAGTTGGACGAAAACTGATCAAGATGAAATGATATTTTATTCCGGCAATAGAACAATAAGTTTATGGTGGATGATATGTCTTTATACGTCGCTCGATATTTGGGTATAAAATCCATCACCCACAAGTACACAATGCTCAAATGTTCTCCAATTTAGATCAGCACAATAAAACTGGTCATCCATTCCTTGTGAAAGAAATGTCCTATGAAGACTTTTTTGACATTCAAATATTAGATAATGATATGGATTCTTTCAATATGTGTCAAGCTAAACTGTCTGAAGTGCAAAATTCTTAAAGTGCAACGAGAGTCGCCCAATTCTGTTGTTGTTTTTTTAATCTCTTACGCTGAGGAACAATTCAGGAAAGCAGATATAGTGAAGACTAATAATAAGCAAAATACAATAACTGATTTAGCAAAGGTTACCATTCTAAAATTGGGACTCCAAAAAATAAAGAGAAGATATTAATAAATTAATAAAAAAAAAACTCATTCCGCAATTCTATCAAGATTTTTATAATAATTTGTATGAATTTTGTTGTTTTATTGTAATGAATGTAGGTGAATTACATTTTAAGTTAAGACAACATGAAAATAAAACGTCCAAACCCGCAACCGTTGCACTTTTTCTCAGCGATAACGACAGCGGTCCTATATAGGTCAATAAATAACTAAAAAAAAATGGAAGAGGAAAACGCAACATTTGGTTGGACGAGAAAGTATATCAGCTGATATCAGTATTGAAAGAGAAATTGATAATTTAAATGCCTGATTGATATTAACCTCGAGTAAAGAATTTTTAGTTTATGCTTATAGCCGAGTAGAAATGAAGCATAAACGTAGTATTTGATGAGTGTCTTGAAGAGTTTGGTTTCCGTGCACCGAGAGAGGACTTTTCTTTTCAATTGGCTACCCAGTTGGCAAGAGTGACTCCACGTCGGATTATTATTGGTGCTGATGCTGGCACCTTGATAGACCTGATTATTCCAAACGGAGTGGAGGTCTTCTTCTACCTCTGCTTCCACCAGCAGAATATATTCAAAGCTGGAGTGCTTTCATCCATTCGGACGACATCACCTAACCAGCGTAGCCGCTGTCTCTTCAAAACTTTTATCCCAAGGCCGACTCATCAGTTGTTGACATCGGTCACGCCTCTGTGCGTTTTAGTTGAACGGGTATGAGTTTGATTTTCGTTTGCCGAGAAAGGACTATTTTCAATTGCCTACTCAGTCCAAAGCATCTGCATAGCATCTGCTGGCCACAGTGATTCTGCGTTGGATTTCAAGGCTGGCATTATTATTGGTGTTGATGATGATTCCTAGATAGACAAAATTATCTACGACAGTCATAACTGTCACCACGACGAGGGAGCCGAGTCGCGAATGCGATGACTGTTTGTTTGTTGACAGTAAGATATTTCGTTTTGTCCTTGTTCACTACCAGGCCCATTCGCTTCACTTCTTTATCCAGTCTAGAGAAAGCAAACCTCACGGCGGGGTTGTTGAGGCCTATGACGTCAACATCATCATCATACGCCTGTATTTCTACACCGCTGTAAGCTCTGTAGCTGTTATCACCCTTTTCAGAATCAATTTGAAGAAATGAGACTATAAAGAGTCACATTGTCTGAAACCTAGTTTCATTTTCACTGCTATTCAGCAGCCTGGAGAAGCTTTGCCACCATAAATTCTGCTACTGTGGGTATCCGTCAGTAGACCTAACCTCAGAAATACCCTCATCGTTTATTTGGTGTAGTTGAATTACAGCGTCCGTTCACCAGAGGTGCGGCTGCGAGCGGGCGTCGGTCTTGACGCAAGCGGCTGGCTATATAAATGTGTAAAAAACTTTAAACTTACTCGCCTGGCGAGGTTGTGTACTGGATTTGCGAACAGCCACGTAGAAAGCAGCTCCAATGAAAAATTATACAACGCCTCGAATTAAGGTTCACGCAACGCAACGCAAACGATTTAAGGTTCACGATTTGAGGGCATGCACCTGGAATGTCCGGTCCCATAATTAGGAAGGTGCCGAGCCGAAGAAGGTACAATCTTCTATAAGAGGTATAAATGCTGTTGTTGTTGTTGTTGTTGTAACCGCAAAATTATTCCCCAAAGTACTTTTTGGGGAATATTGCGGGAGTGACAGTCCTTGGCCGGATAAAAATCCGGGTCGTTCCGGTATAAAGACCCGACTGTCGCGGGAACTATTGGATTTTAGTCGCCTCTTACGACAGGCATGCCTTACCGCGGGTAAATTCTTGAGCCCCTAACCCGCAGGGGTTAGGTATAAATGCTTGTGCACGCCGGTGATATTGACATTATCGGCCTCAACAACCGCGCCGTTAGTTCTGCTTTCTCCAGGCTTGATAAAGAAACGAAGCAAATGGGTCTGGTAGTGAAAGGGGACAAGACGAAATATCTCTTGTCATCAAACAAACAGTAATCGGATTCGCGACTTGGCTCCCACGTCACTGTCGACAGTCATAACTTCAAGGACGTAGATAATTTCGTCTAGCAAGGAACCAGCATTAACACCAATAATAACTTCAACCTTGAAACCCAACCCAACGCAGAATCACTCTTGCCAAAAGATGCTACTTTAGAATGAGTAGGCAATTGAAAAGTAAAGTCCTCTCCCGAAGAACGAAAACCAAACTCTACAAGTCCCTCATCGTTTCCGTCCTGCTGGATGACAACATCTCATGAGACGGCGTTAGGAGTTTTCGAGAGAAAGGTTTTGCGTAAGATTTATAGTTCTATGCGCGTTGGCAACGGCGAATACCGCAGACGATGAAGCGATGAGCTGTACGAGTTATACGGCGACATCGATATAGTTCAGCGAAACAAGAAGCTGCGGCTAGGTTATGTGATCTGTATAGATTCGAATACTCCAGCTTAGAAAGTTTTCGATGTAGTACCCGCCGGTGGAAGCAGAGGAAAAGGAACACCTCCACTCCGTTGAAAAGACCAGGTAGAGAAGGAGCTGGCTGTGCTTGGTATTTCCGATTGGCGCCAAACAGCAAAAAGAAAAAACGAATGGCGCATTGCTGTAAATCGGCTATAATTGAGAAGCGGTTTCTTGTGTTACACCATTTGTATACAAATCTCGAATCGCACTGATATTATTTTTCACGGTGACACCGAAAAGTAAAGGTGGTATAAGTTTTAATAAAATGATTCTATCAGAACAAAAATCGAGAATAAGGAAAAAGGATTTACTTAGAGAATGTTAGGATCAGGAACAGTCTGGATTTGCTTAAAAATTAAACTTTCGAAAAATCAAACTCCAAGCTTTAGTAGACTCACCTGTAAGCTTCGGCTAGCAGAGGATTTTGCTTTATTGCAAGAGTTGAAAACTGTGCAGATTTGTCTAATCTTCGGCATTGAAAATGAATTGAAGAAAGAAGTAATAACACCCCAGTATTTGTGCTATCCTGTCGCCATAATTGCATGCAATGCTTCTCTGCATTTTCGTAATCCACAGCTTGATATTCTCGATGAGCTAACTCTAGCAGACCTAAAAATAGATACAAATACACAGTCTTAAAAAATGTTTGTTTTATTTTTGTTTGAATCGTATATGTAAAATGATATATATATTTGTTGACACTTATTTTCTTTAATTTTTGAATACTGGTCAGATAGGACTCCAACCATGGTCTTCCTTCCATCAAAGTTATCCAAAAATTTAAGTTGAATTTTTGGAGATGGCTGAGTATAAACTGTAGGTCTCTCCATTTGTTAAAAACATCAAGACGCAAAACCACAAATTCGAGAGGGAGCTCAGCCGAAAATCGCATCAGCGGTTATAAAGCCTCAATTACATATAAAATAACGACGGCTACATACCCTTGTACAGTGGAATAATCCTTTACTGAATCGTGTTCGTTGAGGCAAGTACCTAGTAAAATTCGTAATGAGAGAGCGCGATTTTGGGGTTTTACTTTGGACAGAAAGTTTGCAAATTCGTGCTGGGAAAATTTCAGCCGGTAACATCTAGCAAGTTTGAAAAACAATTGATTTGTGATTATATGATTAAATTTTTGTGAACACAACAAAATTGATTTAAAATTAAAATAATATTAAAACTTAAATATGGCCTAACAAAATAAGTGAATTTGAAGAACAAGAAGCATTATCTGCGCCATTTACTTAATATATGCATTTATGTTAAAGCTAATGCAAAAAAAATTATTTTTTGCCGAAAGAATTTCACCATGCAATATAAAAGTCTCGTTCCTCATTAAATCCGAAGATACATGACCGAAACTTTCTAAATGGTAGTAGTGACAGCATCGACTGTTAACATAACATTTCTTGTTAAAACCAGAAGAAGATCGTATGAAAATCACACCTACAAAAGGATGCTAAAACACTTTAAAAGTAAATTATTCTGAGGTGGTTATTGGCGGCCTTAAAGTGATTGCAGAATATGTTTCCTGTTGGGAGTTTAAATAGGTGTATTGTCGAGGAAAGCATGGACGGAAGCGTATTTGTTGAATTGAATGAAAATACATTTGGGTTTGAAAATGAAGATCCTTTTAAAACGTGCTTTTATAAACTTTTTTTTCTCAATTAATTTTTTTAACTAGTAATTATAGTACGCGTGCACTCTTCTCGTCACGAAGCAAGCGGAGTATTAACATTATGTTTTTAACTTTTTATTTAAAAAAAAAAAAAATGATGCCAAAGCATTTACTAACGGAGTTGACCCAAATTTTATCCGGTCAAAGTCTGCCTCTTTACGTCGACTAACTCCGTTTAAGTCATCAGTTAAATCGATGAGATGATCGACTGCATGAGCCGGTATTACCTGTCGATAGCTGCTGCCTAAGAAACCGAGCTAAATGGCGACTCAAATACACTTATCCGATTTCCACGTCATACATAAACATAATGAACGATATCAAGGCGGTGGCATAGCGTTCAAACTGCACAGCGCCGTTCAGTAGTCTTATCGCAGGATAACTACCCTACATAGTCAAGGCATAACTATTCGGTCAGGCTACATTATATGCATTTAATGTTTGCATTCCAGTTGATCAGTGGAATACCGTCCTTATATAGGTGCCAACAGTTTAAGTCTGGTGATTATAAAAATTGTTGACTTGATAAATCCGAAAATAAAGAACCTAAAGTTAAGGGGAGTACCACTCGACAGCGTGTACTTCATCACTACGCATACCACTTTGGTGTCACCAAAGTAAAAAGAAGCAACAAAATCTTTAAGTCACTCTCCTGCAGCATCTGGGATCAGATATCATCCTTGCAGACGTCTATTACAAGTAGAACAACAAGTCAGACAAAAGAGGAAGAGAGTAATTGACTGCATTCAGCATCACACAACAGAACCGCTGGATAGAATGGCTACCGACAAGAACTAAACGGCGTTCACAAAGTCCGTCAAAACCTTTATTAACTTTCTTTTCCCAATCCACCACCCATTAACAAAAGCAAACCACTTTCTTAGACCCGAGTAATACCGGTACATTAAATACCTGCATACTGCATAGGGCTCCACTCCTATCCCAACCTCCGCTCTGACATACTTACCATTTGCCCTTCAATTAATTGATCGCCACACGAGACTAAACACCCTTTTGGAAACCCACTAGAACCACTAGTCTAACACACTTCTCCCTATAGTCCGAAGCCATCGCAACAGATTGTTTACTTTTCAATTCATTAAAAAACAAATACAGTAAAAAAAATTTGTAAGAACACAGTTTAAATAAATTGTATGCATACAAAGAGAATGCATGATGCATGTGTGAAGAAATAAAAAAAATTCAAAAATTTTCATGATCTCAAGATTGTAAATAAAATTATTTACATATGTACATACATAGTGACTCACACTCAAAACCTGACAGTGTAACATATACCATCCTACTGCATTTCCAATTGAGATAAAAACTAAATAATAAAATATTTTTATTTTTATTTTTTGAATATTATTTCCTAAATTTTGAGTGCTGACTGGTAAATTTTCTTTTAAAATGTCAATAAAGGCGGAGACCACTTCATAATAATGCAACCCCGCATTCTATAAATTTACCTTTCAACAATAGTTTGCAAACTCTGACATTTTGGAATGATTTTCGTGCAAATAAGTTGCTTTTCGGTGCAAAGTCTAAAATATGAAACAGATCAAGACAATAAGTAATGTAATGTTAAAAAAAAAATAATTAGAGCAAAAAAATTTCTCCCCGACGTCGGCCGTTGTTGTTATAATTTATGACAAAATAAAGCACCACAAACCTTTGCGACGCGCAGTTTGCTTTTGTTTGCGCATCAATAACTTTACCGATGCATTGCTTGCTTTTACAGAGTTGCATTTAGGAATGCGCGACAATGTATGGTTGCTTTGCAACTGACGTTTTGGAACTCACCCTATATTTCGCAGTATTCATTTTGAAATCAATAATATTAATAATACTGACGTCAACTACAGACATGCAACCCCATATGGTAACGGATGCATTGTGTTTTTTGTAAATTGGGCTTCGTATTCTTTGTTGGCCTTCCGCCATACAAAACGCTTTCCTTTCGAACCAAACATTAATTAATTTTTGATTCGTCCGTTGAAAGCTCCTTTGAAAAATTAATATTACTAAAAAATCTGATAGATATCCTTGATATATATACTCAACGAAGACCAACATGAAGCATATTTCTCAATATTTTGCTTTGCAAATTCAACCCTTTGCTTTTGGTTATTTTTGCTGCCAGGGCAGCTCGGCCATTAAGACTGTCGGCTCTGAATAAACGCCGGATGGTTTCAGCACTAACGTTCACTGGTTTTACTTGATTTTTGAGCTGTTTTTGAAGCTCAACCGCAGATTGTGGGGGTTTTCAGAAATTTCTTTTAAGAGGTACTGTTCATCTCGACGTGATAACTTCCGCCTATTGGACTGTAGATTTGCTTTTATGGACAATATCGGCAATTTCACGAATTGAAAGGATCTTGTCGTGGTTATTGGTAATGATTTGCCTTTCTTCGGCTCTGTTTTTTTAAATCTAAAATCGCAACATTACGACAAAACCTTCCAAATTTGCTTGCTCATTTTACTAGTTTTACCGTTATGCTTAGCCGTCTTTCTTCGAGTTTTATTTCATTTTTGTTGTTGTTTGTTGGTGAATTGTTTTGAACATTTCCACTTACTTTTTTTGATACACGGGGGATTAAAGAATAATAGAAAATTGAGATAAATCCAAAATGCATTACATATTACCTTATACATCAATTAAAAGAGCAGTACGATAGTAGTTTTTACACCGGTTTGAGTGTGAGTCACTGTATGTTCATAAATGTATTGTCATATACATCTACATATTATATATTTTATGCTGCTACCTATTGCTATCCACTTGATACTTGCACTTGCACACAGAGATGATGATGCATTTGTGAAGAAGCACGGAGGGTTCATTAAAATGAACTGATTATTATTATATTTTTCAATCAAAAAATATTTTAATATTGTCGTAGTGATAAAGCGATGACATTTGTATACTGAATTGTAGCCAATATTTTGAATGGATAATAAATCGGTAGTATTTGTTACGTTTAAATGCTCATTTTTTTCTTCCTAATAGTCTTAGTTAGCAGTGAAAAAAAAAAGAAATCATAAAATAAATTACGGAAAAAGAAAATGGGTCCCTCATAGCAAAAAATCTCTCGCCGCAAATATCACCATCGTAAGTATTTACAAAAATCCGATTTATATTTAAAATTACTATTCGTAATGAACAGCGTATGGCTTTAGAATGACAATAAAAGTTAGAAAAGCGACTATGGTGGCAGTCGTGATAGCGCAGAAGAGCAATGCGTCGCATAAGCGAACTACTTCACCTCTGTCGGCGCTGGCGTGTTTTAATCGCCGAACGACGCCCACTAATATGATAAATTACGGGAGTGTGTATATCGAAATTTACATTATGTAGTTTGATTTTCTTTGAACTTAATGGTTCCAGACCTTAGCTCGTTTTGATCGAGTTAAGAATAGTATACGTGAAAAGACTATTTATCGTATGACATCACGTAAATATTTTGAGGTGGATCGGACATGACAGGCTCATGCAGAACACAGCGCTGAGTCACCAACGTAGATTGTATGTGGAACTTTGGAAATTATTACTCCTTACGGATTTTATAACTTTTTCAATTGAAACACTACGTGCACTTCCACAACCGCTGAGCATAAAGCGTTCGCTCAAGCGCATGTTTGACATCAGCATTGAGCAACACGTGAGCGAGCAACTTAAATGTTCGTATACATATGCTTTCATAAGTTTCCTGCTGAGAACTTTGAGACTTATTAGTGTCGTAAGTCATACTGCAGAAATTTAGTATGGTGATCTTCAGTCAATCGAAGGACAGTTCGGCTGTAATGGCAGCTATATTTTAAGTTCCAACTTCGGTTGTAAATTCAACATTTTTTGGCGAGCTTTATTTGTTATGATTAATTGTGTTTGATTAAGCAAAAAAAAAAAATAAAAAAATAAAAGGTCATT